CCTGGAGTCACCGTCCACATGAAGAGAAATTACATGGCAGCTGGCCTTGGAGGACATTTGCACATTTTGTGAGTGGCTGAAGACTTGTCACAAGTTGGTCAAAGGTTCATGTCGGTTTATGAGCTTCTGCAGAATATTTTAATACTTTGTTTATCTTCAGTGCAGCGGAGAAGAAGGTCTTCTCCGCTGCACGTCTTCTCTTTGGCGTTATGAATGAAACGCTTTATTTCGTGCCATCTAATACAGGGTTTTGACCTCATGCTCCAAAAACAAACTTACGCATACCAAAGATATCAACATGGGAGATATCTGCTAAACGCCAACTTCGCAGGAGGAGCACTAGATAGAGTTTGAAAATATTATTCAGTCGTCACTGCGGGGGAGGAATCAAAGGGAAGGAGTCCAGAATGCAGTTAGATAGCAGACAAAAAGCATCACAAAATTGGCCTCAGATTATTTCGTACAGAAATGAAAAGATAAGAAAAATAACTCCATATTTTGTGGAAATGAGTAACCAGAGGATTTTCATTGAACTGGCATCTTGTTGAACCACAGAGTGCAGAAGTGAGGGAAAAAAATGACTCCTGTTGCAGATTTTCAGTATTAAACTACAACAATTCCTCCATATAACTTACATATAGTCATTCCAAACTTCTTTGAATGGTATATCAGTGACAAATATTTACAGTTATTTTTGCAAACAGAATCTTGTGTTAAGGCTGCTAGTTTATGAAGCGCAACAAAGTAGAACATAGGGAGTTCTGTTCAATATTACAACCCAATGTTTTCAATACTTAGTGATAATTGCACAGTGGTTACACTGCGAAACACAAATAGCATCCTTCTAAAAGCAAAGGAAATGGAAAGATTTAAAGATTTATAACTGCTAAAGTCTGACGAACGTGTCTTAAAGGATAAACTTTCTCACAACTCGACTTGTCCGATTTAAAATCGGTTCTAGATGCGTAATCATGGAACGATGTAATGATTTAGTTTGTGTCTTGTAACATAAAATGCACCAGACAGTTTAAGTCTCGAAAAATGTTTTGATAAGAAATTCTGAAAGCAGATTTCCACACTAACATTTTCATTTGGGTTATCTGGTTTTAAGAATCTAAAAGATGGATTTGAATCATGAGTCAAAGGGTTTACATTCTGAATCTGCAAACAAAAATACTATTTACTCTGTGTACAATTTAGTTAACAGCATATATAAACTATCCTGGACTTTGTGCTGCCAAAGAAATGAAACAAAATTTAGGAAATATTCACCCAATAAGAAATATTAAACACTCTCCCCTCCATAAAAACTCAACTCGTCTGGGACCAATTTCTGGTTCCGACAGACAGCGAGATCTACAACTACATGCCGATCCAAGTAAACCACTAAAAAAAAAAAATTTACTCACTGGCATCTGAAGTGAAAACGGCAGCTTATTGGTGAGTTTCAGGGGGAAATGCACTCCAACCTCGCCCCCTGCCTCCTCTTCTAGTCCTTCTGCACCGTTCTTTGTCAGCTCCTCCTGCATCATCAGCTGTTCTGGAGGGACCAGGTCGTGAGTAACCAGCGAACTTCCAGTCAAGTCCTCATCATCGTCGTCGTCATCGTCATCCTCAGCCAAAAGAGGCTGGTTTGCCAGCGATCGCTCCCCGAGGGTCATCACCACCAGTCCTCCCCCCGCGCCCAGACACACTCTCCCGCCTCCATCTATTCCTCCGCCGCTGCACTTCAGCAGCATCCCATCCAACTTGTCCTCAGAGTTCATCTTACATCGAGTACTCCTATAGTCAGTAAAATGAGCCGTTAGAACGAGATCAGGTCAAAATTCGAACATAATGAAACCAAAATGAAAACACTTGAAGGCCACCAGACAGAAAAGACCCAGGTCACTAACACAGCTCAGATGTTAGTTTTCAATTCTTTCACAAAGTATAAACTGATCGCTTTGATGGTCATATTGTGATCATTATGTTACATTTAAATCTACAGTGATCATATAAATATTGGAAATAAGAAAAACAAACAGGTAGTTGCTCGGGTATGACGTTTGTTGCTTCATACTGGAATTTTGTATTCCACATAGAGTATTGTTCTGTATGTGGAATGCTGTAAATATTCCACATACAGTAATAAAAAAGGCTCCAAAAATTGTCTCCACCTTGGAATACATATGATCGCACAAAGTCAGATACCTTAATGTCAACAATGTCTGTTTCTAGGAAAGTGTGAACTTTTGTAACTAGGTCAGCCATTACTTCTCTAATCTTATCTTAAAAACAAACCCTACGGTGAAAGCAACTGGAAAACACAGAAAGTCAACTCTGAAAGATGAGAATTTATTAACTTAATATGCAGAAACAGATTTTTTAGCTATTCTGATAGCAAACATGCTTAACTAGAATATATCTGTTCAATGACAGTAATTGAAAGTCGATATAAATAGCATGAGATTCCTACATTATTACATCTTACTGAACTGGTGGAGCAGCTTGAAATTTCAACACAAGGTCTCATAAAAAAAAACAAAACACAACAAGTAGCGTTAGCAACGGCTTGAATTCAGCTCCGTAAGGCTTAGCTAACGTAGCATTTGTGAATGTTACCAGGGGTTTTGCAGGACTACAGCGAATGGACACAGGCACGGGAGAAAATTTCAGCCACGACAATAAAAGACAACTGCAGTCAATGTAAACACACTCACTGTGTCACTCAGGTTAAATGGCCTGAGACCCCAGTTAGCCAACTAGCTCACCGCGCTCATCAAATCTGCTACATTGCACTGGTGCGACCAGCTACAGAAACAACAGGAAGAGGGCGACCTCCTCTTCAAAATAGAAGCACTTTTTCCACTTCCTCCGAGGAGAGCTGTGGTTATTTCTTTTTTCTGCAGACCCTCCAGAAAAAAGAGGGTCTGCAGAAAACTGCATTTACCCCCCTCCCCAAAGCTTCTAAAATTCTAATTTTTTATTTTTGCAATAGACGTAAAAATAAACCCAATTTTCAGATCATTCTACCATATGGCACCTTTCCATAAAACAAAAATCTAAACATTATACATGGACAATATATTACAACTTAAAGACTCAGATTTCGTTACTTAAAAGTATGGGGAAATGTAAAAGACATTCATTTAGAAATAATTTTTAAACCACTTGTAAATGCGAAAAAAAAAGAAAAAAAAATTGGATATTGTGCTGCATATTTCCAAATACCACAACCCCCCCGCCCCCCCAAAAAAGAAAATTGGCATATTTAAATATTTAATATGCTAATTGGTTTATAAAGCACTTAAAACATCAAAATAAAGATGTTTATTTGCGCATACATTCACATATAGAAATGTTAAAATCCGTTTAAAAGCGCGCCGTCGTGCGACTTTTAATCTGAATAATGTAACAGGAAAAGACATTCTGCTTTGAAAGACTTGGCATCTTTCTGGCCTGTTTGAAGCTAAGTAAATAGCCGCTAGCATTGAAAGCAGTTTGTTAATCTTACTGTAATTTCGTGTAATTATCCTAATACTAACTGCGCCCTCACATATCTGGCGTTTTATGCAACTCTTAGCCGACAGTGTGCGACACATTAGTTAAATACTTCCCCTACACTAAGCAGCAGAGATTGGCTTCTCCATAGCTCCCCTTCACTTGATACGATATTTCCTGCTAGCAAAGCTAGCATTTGCTAGCTCGCCACTACGACAGACAAACAGGCTTATTAATAAATACCAAACTTTCATATACGACATGCCAACCCTTAGTACTGTAATATTTATACTCACCTCTGTGCGTTAAAGCCGTTTAACTGTCATCACTGTTGGGCACAACTCCAAAGGACTACACGGAATAATCTTTCACACCATCCCGTTTGATGAAGACATGGATGATGGCTATTTGTCGCCATCTAGTGGAGGATAGTGGTTCGTGCACTCATTATGCTGTGATCTACCGCGATGTTTTAATTATGTAGACGGGATCACTGGATTGTTATTTCAAGTTTCTATTGGCAGCATTATTTTTCGCCCATGTATGAAATTTGAACTAAACAAAAGACAGAATATTTTTTATCAAAGAAAAGCACCAGAGCAAAGTATGCCAACATGTTTGAAAGTGTTCTGTTTATGTAAGTAACTTATTCGCATGGAACTACAGTTTCTTTACATATATATGTTTTTTTGTTTTTTTTTTTTGCTCAACTCTCAAATGGTTTCAAGCCCCAAACAGGTTACAGGCTTGCCTTATCTTTAGATCCGCCCATCAATTGTGACAGTTTCACTTTCCCTAAAAAGAAAAAAACAAAACAAAAACATCCTCCCAGCGTGATTCTGCCACCACCGTGCTAATGTGGAAGCGTGAAGGTGGAGCATGATTAAATTCTTCGCATTTTGAAACCCATTGGGTTTTGCATGTAAACTTAAATTGTTTAGTTCTGGTCTCAGAGCAGCACCTTCTTCCACATGTTTACTGTGGATAAGCTGCAAATTAGGTTTCTTGTGGATTTCTTCCCAAAACAGTTTTTTTATACACCCTTTTTTTATGGCCAGATTTGTGGAGTGCTCATGATACATGATGCCATTTGTTCTCTAATGTCTAACAAGTATGAATCTGACAAGATTATACTTTATAAAGGAGGTGAAATATATATAAAAAAGGCATGCCACACGTTTTAATGTGTTTGCTGAAAACATTTTTCCCCATTCCATACATTTGTGCATTACTTTGCTTTGACGTAGCACATAGTATTCAAGACCACCTCATCCATATTATAGCGAATTAGAGTTCCCTGACAACGTATTGCGTAACAAATCAGTAAGAACAAAAAGCGCTCAAGTGTAAACTATTTTATTCTAATAAGCATTGAAATTCATCTAATTCTATTTCGGCTGACACCTTTGCTAAAAAAAAAAAAAAAAGCAGATGGGGATGGGAGAGATAAGATGATACCCTGTCACGCCAGCCGTCGCTCTCTCACACACAAACACACACGCACCGACGGCGCTGTGAGGAATACTAATCAACCTGTTTGCCGTCAAGTGCAGCAGGCAGCTCGGTGCGCAACTTTTTCATTCAGCACGCACTAACACGTTTCTGCCAGCGCATCGTTAATAAAACGTGTGTGAAATGTACATTTCTCTTTGACTGAACCGTGAGCTGACTGTTTCCACTTTAGTCTCCTTGCCTCGTTTTTGTTTTATTTATTTTTTTTTTTATGTGAGACAAGCCGCCTGAAAGATTGTATCTAGGAAGAGACAGCTCACTACTAACCCACCTCTAGCGAGGGAAGCCCCCCACGCGTTGCGCGCCTGGATCACCGGGGGTTTACATTTATATATTTATATTCAGGTTCTCTCACCCGGCGGCGCGTGTGCACGCGCGCGGCGCACTTACACGTGTGTGTTCAAAAAGAAGCCCTCGGACTCCGTCCTCAACAGTTGCCACCAGAAGGAGGGAGAGAGAGAGAGAGACGGCAGACTGAGGACCGGACGGACGCCGCTCTGCCCGGCTCTGCTCCTGACATGCAGTCGCTCATTTCTCCGGTGACCAAAGCCATCCTAGTTGCGCTCTTCATCTTCGCCATCCTGCTGATCCTGTATGTGATCCTCTGGTACATCTGTAGGGACGTGGACTGCGACCACGGAATTTGAGGATTCCGTTAAAGCGGGGAAATAACGGGAAATCAACAATGGGGCGCACAGAGGAGCCCAAAGAGTCCTGTCTCATCCCGTAAGTGCGGTTCTTTTTTTTTTTTTTTGCACTTAAGTCGTGCGTAATTTGGGAATAGTTCTATATACGTTTGTGTTTATGTGCACACGCGCATTCCTTTCGCGCGTAATGTGAAAAGGTGAAAAGCAGCGTGCGCCCGGTACCACAGACCTGAGGAGAGCCCCTGATTCCCGCCCCGTTTAACTTGACAGCAGTCATCCATCACGGACGCCTTGTGCAATGGAACACGCTGTTATAGCGGAGAATAAAAGAAAAAAAAAAGAAAGAAAAAAACAAAGGTGCCACAATGTCATGAGGAGGTTATATGTGTGCGGGCTTTTAATCAGAGAAGAAGGTGAAGAGCGCCAGTGACATTGCGGTAAAAGACGTGCGCGTCCCTTAAGGTCAAGAACAACAGTGTTTACCTCGTGTTCCCAGCACCACCACCACCACCACCACCGCCCCCTCCTCCGTTTATATATACCCGCTGCATTAGTTCGTGTTCAGTTCAGCTCGGTCTTTGAGGAATGCTTTCATGCTGGCATCGCACGTCCAACGAGATAACGGGATTATCTCCACCGGTTCCATGTGCGTCTTCTTCCTAATCTGCCTTGTGCCATGTTTTGCGCCCTTATCGCGAATGCTCCGCTAATGCTTTTTTTTTTTTACGCATAGCGCAAATTCATTCCCACTTGACGTCCGTGAGCTTGTTTCGACTCACTGTGGTCAGTCTCACTTGATTCACTTTCAAAACCCGCACCTGTGCACGCAAACAAGCGCACTGCGTTACTGAAAGGGGATTCTCCTCTGTATTACCCCTGAATACGATAGCTTTTGCATAATCCAAATTATACGAGTGGCGTGGATGCCAATTTTCATTTTCTTCAGTCATGATTAGAAAAACGAACTAATTTCGCTCAAATTAAAGTAGAGATTGCAAGGACAAATCAAGGGCATGTTTTCTTTTCTTTCTTTAATTTGAGCATCGTGAGAAGGGATTCAGAGTTGATCTTTTCACCTTTCTCCGAATCTATGGGGCATAAATTCACGCTGCTCCTCTTAATGGAACTAAAGGGAAAATGGGGGGGGGAAAGGATGCCCCAGTCCCCTGTGAAACATCTCTGACTGGTAATTACTGAGTGATAATGACTGGCTGCAGCTCACTCTGTACTTAACCCACTTCAGTTTTTCATGTTAACACCACAAACTCATGAGAGGATTGCAACAGCCAGGCATCTTTCTGTGCCCAAAGGGGCGGCTATGTGTGTGTGTGTGTGTGTGTGTGTGTGTTTGGAGTGTGGGGGGGTGAGGCTTGAACATTTCAAAAAAATGTCTTATTTTGGAGCTTTAAGTGCTTTCCACTCTGAGCTGGATGCAGCCATGAGAAAGAAATCCCGCAGTCTCCCTAAAATGTTAGGAGGACTCTCCTGCCGAGACAAGGAGAATCCTGCTGGACTGGACCACAAAATGATTTTTGCCACACTTGAGTTGGAATGCAACAAGCCGGACTTGCCCCTTTAAAATACACACACGCACACAATGCACACTGATTTGCACGCTGCATAAGTGACTGCCGTGTGCCTATCCAGTAATGACATGATAAGGGAGCAGGGCGGTGTGTGACAACTGCTGCTGCTGCAGCTGTTGCTGTCTATTCTGGTGTCCTGGACAGTTGTCCTAGTGCGTTAAAGAACGAGAGGGGGAAAAAAAAAACCTCTGTTTGGGTGACCATGGATGGCTGTCCAGTTTGTTAAGGAAGAAAGGCAGCATGTGGGAGGGGGTTAAACACTTGACATGCTCCAGAATTACTGATAAAAGTGGAGCAGGAAAGGCTCAGCGGGACTCAGCATTGGAGTCAGCTGTGAGTGTGTGTGTGTGCGTGGGTGTGTGTGAAAGTGTGTAAATGTGCGCGGATTTGTGCCTTTACAGCATCAAATTCACTCGAGTTCATTGAAAATGGTATTCATCATTAAATACGTATGTGGCATGTCAATTATTTGGACACTGTTAACTATTCAACAATCGCTTTAAACTTTTAACATTGAACCGCATAAAGTTGTGTGCAACTTCAAAGTAGAAGGATAATGAAACGTGGTGTTTACATTTTGTATATGAAAATTTGAAAAATGTAGCATTCATTTGTACTTATATGAAAGAAGGTACTTTGTTTATATTGGAACAATTTAAATTTTGTGGCTTACTTGTGAAATTGAACATGTACAGATCACCAGTATTGTACATCCACCTGAATACACCATCCCCACTGGTGGTGACGGCATCATGCTGGGGGCATGCTTTTCTTCAGAGACAGAGAAGGTGGCTATTGAATTGAATGCAAGAAATACAATAAAATGATTTAGATTAAAGCAGGTTCATTTGGTGAATGACCTCGTCAAAATAAAGGAAAAGAAAATCCAAATGAGAACCTGTAACAAGACTTGAAAATTGCTGTTCCCAAAGACTCTTCATCCAATCAGACTGAGCATTTTCCAAAGAGTTTGAGTAAAATTCAACCTCTAGATTTATAAAACTGGCAGGGACCACTTTGACTAGGTCTGTTACAAAAAATCTCAGTAGGTTATATTAAAATATTTGTGCTATTTTGTGATGAGTCTGAATACATTTACAAGGCCCTGGATGCAGTCGGATTCTTTTTTGCCACTTTTGCATATAGTTCTTTTCTTTTTTCATTAATTTGTATCTTGATGGTCTTATCCAAAATGTTGACCAGTTCTGCAGGATTTATTTCATTGGGAAAGGGAATTTTTCCAATATTATTTCCCGTTTTCATGCATTGTAACTTGTAAATGGAGACATTTCTATTTTATTGACCAGTTTTGTATCACAAAACAGTTTAAATGATGTCAACGCTCGGCTGTACAGATGTTTGTTTTAATTCTGATTCATTCCTGCAATGTTGTTGACCAGGTAGATTTTCTTTGGATCTCCACTGACTGGAGAAAGAGCTAACGGGACTACGAGTGTGTGACGGTGCCAGCTGTTGTTGCTGAAGCAAAAAAATTGAGATCTGTGAATACCAGCTACATCTAAAAGTTTTGCTATTATTTCATTTTTGCAAACTTTTTGTTTGTAATGTGGATTTAACGTGATTTCAGGGCACTCTAGAAAAATGCCACATTTTGCAACCAGAAAGAGAAGAAGGAAAGTGACAGCATCTCAGGTTGGAGATTATTGACAGACCTTGAGAAAGTGGTCAGAAGTGAAATAAGATTTGATGGTGTTCAGTTTGTTATAAAACTTTGATATTTGGATGAAGGTTTACATCAAAACCTTCATCCAAAATGGTTTTGATGTAAAAAGCAAAACTCTTAAAAGTATCAAAATAACAACACAAACTGTGTCAAAACAGAAGAGTTTTCTGAGTTTTCTTTGGTACTTACTCTTTTGAATTTATTTGTTTTTGGTTATCTAACTACTTACCATTTAACTTTTGAGAAAGAAAACTCAAAGATTTTTGGAAACCTTCAAACATCAAAGCTGCTTGTTTTTAAGAAATTTGAATTCAAAAGATAACCATGTGTGGACATTTTATTTTCGTTCTTTCTTTTTGTTGTTTTGTTTTTGTGAAAGTTTGCACCTCTGAGACTTTTTTGTTATTCTTCTAGAAATTGGCCTGGATGCAAAACTCCGAGTTGGAAAATGACTACTGTACTTCACCCTTAACACTCTATCCACACTATGAAGTAGAGTGGTGGCAGCATCATGCTCAGGATATGTTTTCCTTTAACAAGAACATGAAAATTGATTGAATGGAAGGGAATGTGATGCGAAGGAAACCTTTAAGAAGGTGCAAAATATTTGAAGACGGGCCAGGGGATCATGTTCCATCAGAGGCACAACACTAAATTTACAGCCAGTGATTAGATTGGATTGTTTAGATCAAATCACATTCATGCCTCGAAGTGGCTGAGGCTTAAATATGAAAGAAAATCTATGGCAAGACTTGAAAAGTGATGTCCACTGATGCTCTCTTTTCAGTCTGGTTGAACTTGAGATGAAAATCTTGAAACTACATGTATATTGAAAGTTGGTCCTACAGAGTAGAGGTTCAAGGCCATACCTTTCAAATTTTTGTAGAAATCTAATTTTATATTTCAATTCCCAATTTTAAAAACAGCTATTACAAGGATTTTTTTTTCCATCAACAATTTGATAAGCTGAAAAATTGATGATAGCAAAAAATAAATAAAACGTTAAACCAGTTTGCTATAACTGTAATTTTGTAGTAAAATCATCCTTTGCGCCATCAATATCAGCATACAACATATGCACACTGATTAAGAAATGCGATAATATTTACAACTTTGATGAAGACACAAAACAACCCCCGGTGTCAGCATTGAGGATCACAAATATCCATGCGTCAGAAAGTTTTTTCTTCTTTTGTCCATTAATTTCTACTAAGTATTTGTAGGTACAAATACTTAAAATCAAACCAAGGTCAAAGAATGACACACAAGAAGATAGAAGTTGTATTTCTAAAAAGGCATAATCGACTTTTATGTGTCACTATTTCCTTTTTCTAGAAAGCTTCTGTTTGGACGTTGTCACTGGTGTTGGGGCATGCTGTTATTCATCACCTCTTTGCCTCTTTTTTCTCCCACTATCATATCTGTCATATGGACAAGCAACGGTCCCAGACTTCATTTGGACCTACACGCCTGCCAGCGCTGAGTCTCACCCCTGCTCATGTCATCCCTGAAAGCAGTGAAACAGGGTCAAGATGACCCAGCACCACATATGTTTTGTCCTCACACTGAGGGTCTTAAATATGCTCTCAAGAAGATAAAGCTCTTCAACACTCACAACTGCACACACACCTCAAAGCCATAAAAATAGATTGTGAGTGACTCAGCCGTTATGTAAAGTCCATCTCTGATAGGGCCGCCCGGGGCTGTTTATGTCAGTTTAGCTTGATGGCGCGAGAACTGAGGTGACACATGTCTGCTGTGTCCGAGTTTCGCTGCACACTCATGCATCCATACACACACACACTCTTC